ATATATTTATTTATTTATTAAGTAACTTTAAATTTATTTATTTTGTACGTATAACACTTAAGAAATTGAATAGTATATACATTTATTAAGTAGCTTTAACCTTATTTAAATTTTAAATCATAAAATAAAATTATTTTATTTTTATTATTCATAAAAATTATTTTTATAAATATTGTGCTACGAACTAATTTTTCGTCTCTCAAAAGTTTGCGCGACCAACAATTCGTCGTGCAAAACTCTAAAAATTTGGGCGGGTATAAAAAATGGGACGCGGGATTTATTTTTATTTATTTTTTAATTTGGACTTTGCGCTACCAATATTTTGTGTCGCTCAAAACTTTGCGCGACCAATATATATTTTTCGTTGCTCAAAAATTTGGGCGGTTACCAAAAATGGGACGAGGGAATTTTTTTTTTGACTTTGCGCGACCAATATTCTATTATTCGTCGCACAAAACTTTGCGCGACCAATATTCCAATATTGTTCGTCGCGCAAAGTGATACGGTTTTTAAAACCAAAATAACTCCACCATTTTGTCAATGTCTTTCTCTACTCTTACCTCTCCTCTCTCTTTCCCTCTCCCCAAATCCCACCCTTTCTTTCACACTCACTCCTCTCACTTAATCTCTCATCATATCTCTCTTCACTATCTCTCACTCTCACTCACTCTCTCATCTGTCTTTCACTATCTCTCACTCTCACTCACTCTCTCATCTCTCTATCACTATCTTCTCTAATTCTTTCACACTCACTTCTCTCTCATTCTCACTCACTCTCAATCTTGCCAAAAGGTATATTCTCGCCAAATTTAAAATTTTTTTTCATTAATATGTATTTTTGGAGTTAGTTTTGAGTTTGTGTAGGGTTTGGGGTTGAGTAAAGGGGAGGGATTGGAGTTTGGGTTGGATTTGCGGTATAACAATTTTAGGGGAGATTATGCCCTTTTTTTTTTTTTTTTTTGTTATTTGACCATTTTTTGTTTGTAGGGAATCATCGAGACTTTGACGGCTAAAGTTGAGGATTATGAAGCTATCAAAACATATCATCCACCACTACCACAACAATACGCTTGTATTATGATTTTATTATTGTACTTCGTTCATTTACGTGTACATTTTGAATATTATATATATATTTATTGCATAATTTGATCACTATTTTGAATATGTCAATTTAAATTAAAGTAATTAAAAAATCATACAATTAAATTAAATTTAAAAGGTAAAAATTCGAAAAAATTAATATAATTAAATTAATATCAATTTAAATTAAAGTAATGAAAAAAAATCATACAATTAAATTAAATTTAAAAAGTAAAAATTTGAATAAATTAATATAATTAAATTAATATTAAAGAAATAATAAAACAAAAAGTCAAAAACCTTGCGCGACAAAATATTTCGTCATGCAAACATTTGTGCGACGTTAGTATTCGTCGCACAAAACTCTAAAAATTTGGGTGGGTACCAAAAATGGGATGCGGGAATTTTTATTTTTATTTTTTAATTTTTTTAAGACTTTGTGCGACCAAAGTTTTTCATCGCGTAAAACTTTGAGTGACCAATGTATTTCATCGCACAAAACTTTAACCAACCAATGTTTTTCGTCACGCAAAACTTTGCGCGACCAATATTTTTTTGTCGCGCAAAGTCACTTTGCGCGACCAATGAAAAAACTTCATCGCGCAAAGTCTTTCTTCACGATCTTTGCGCGACGAAGTTTCTGTCGCGCTGAAATTTGTACGACTACAATGTATTTTGCGCAACAAAATTTTCTTCATCACGCAAAGTGTAAAATGTAGTAGTGAAAGGACAGTTCCTTGATTACGAATTATAGTCCTCATACAATACATCATAAATAAATTGAGGTGGAGTTGGATTGAGGAGAATTAGATTCACGATTCCTATTAAATTTATTTACTAAACTATATGGATTGATGAGAGTTAGATTCTAGATTTCCGTTGAAGTTGTTTACTACACCATATGGAATTGGGGTAGGAATGGTACTCATTACTAAAATGTCCTTCTTGTTGGGTTAAAGTAGATGTCAAATTTAGAATTTTAAAATTGTATGAGGATATAATGGATAAAAAAGATGAATTCATAATAGGTTAGTTCTCCGTGAATTAGAATATCACCTCTCACCCAAGATTTGAAATACTCCAAAATCAAGAATTCAATTCCTAATTTTGTGTGGACCCCACTTACTTTTGAATTACTTGATGTGAAGTAAACACATATATCCTTTATAAGTAGAATTCAATTCCTAATTAATAAACACACCATTTTTTTTTAATAACAAATTACACCATTTGCCGTTGAATTTAATGAACCAATACTCCTTTCACCTAACAACGGATTCCCTAAACTATAGCACGCTTAATAACCTATATATATATATATATATATAGAGCTTCCATTGAGAGATCCCTCAAATATTTGAGGGACACCCCTTGTAGGCTTCACTCCGGATTATATTGCACTAATCCAAACCGTCTATTTTGTAGATACTCATTCAAAGATCATCTCTACAAAAAATCACTTGAATCCGATATCATTTGACCATTCAATTGAGTTATTGAAATTTTAGTACTTTCTTGAAGTACCGTGTTCATTGATTTTGTAGGACACAATTGGATGTCGAAACGGTTTCCGATTTGTCTAATTTTTTGTAAGGATGATCTATGAATGAAGACCTAAAAAATAGATGGTTTGGATCATTGTGAAAAAAATTATATGGTACCCTAAAGGGCGTCCCTCAAATAAAATTATTTGAGGGATCCCTCAATAGAGGGGACTGTATATATATATATATATATATATATATATTACAGAAAGGCGATAGCTTTTTATTAATAAGGAAATATTAAATAATGAAACAAGTACAAAAACCAAGTTATGTCCTATAGTATATCTACACCTATAATTTAATTACTATCAAATAATTAAGTAACACAAATAATCTCTCAAGTAACACTGGGCCAAGCTATCTTCCTCGAGGATGCGCTCTTTTGTCTGGGTTGGCCAACCACCATCCTCACAGGCATTCTAAACAAGGATGGCCTACCATGCCCACCGCCACAAAATGGTTAGACTAATGCTGGTTGGTTTGTGACGACTTAAGGCTTTTTGAGGCAGCGTCTCTTTGTTTCCAACCTATATCCACAAGCTATGTTCACTTTTGATGTTTTATTTGCCTGTTTGTTTTTGGTGCTTTGTTTGCACCCTGGTTTTATTCAAGTACCAGTTTTCAAAAAAAAAAAAAAAAAAAAAAAAAAAAAAAAAAAACTCTAAACTACAACCTAGGCATTTGCCCCCCTGCATTATTCCATCATTCAAATCCAAATAATCCTCTTGGTTCACAGAATTCAAGAACTGGATTAATTAGTGGATTATTAGCTGCAATTTACTATTTAGAAAAGTCCCTTTATTTAAATATTTTCAAAAATAATGAGAAATGACTATGAATAATTAATGAGAATTGACATAATGCTAGGTTGGCACCGATACCGTAAGAAATAATAAAAGTTGAAAATGAACATGTTTAGATTAACATGTTGTGACTTTTATGCCATTTAATTTCCTACTTTTGTTTTTTTTGGTATCCTTGCCATTTAATTGAAAATCAATAAGAAGATTACTGGTTATAACTTATAACATAATGGATGTCTTGTACATAAGCAAGATTATTGTTTACATCATTTATCCAAGCTATGAACTTCCAACTGCTATATCATTTACCTGTTGGAACAAGAACAATACATAATGTTCAAACCAAATTCTACAAATCTTAAATTGAAAAAGGTTACCAAGTCATACAAATAATACAATAAAATTAAATTTTAACCAATAAACAGTTTTAAGCACACCATTGCAAACTTGTTAGGGATCTTATGAAATCACTAATTCATTCTCAAACTATTACAAGAGATGACAATTAGACAATGAAGAGGAACATCACTTACCATGGTTCTGCCGCACAGTGGTGACCCTGTAGATGGCTTTAATTAGGGAACCATGTCTCATAGACTTCAAATGTCCCATATGTCTGTAAAGAAAAATATGGGACACAATCAGTTCAGAAACAAAATCGGGAGAAGCTTCTGTTGTACAAAAGTTCCAAGAAAATGTACTGCAGAAAAACAAATCTGCACGAGACAAAGGAGATAAATGTATACACACACAAACACATGTATATGTACGTATTATACACAAATCGGCTGGCTCAAATCTAACAATTTTTTTTTCCGGTTCTGGCCTATTTTTATGGTTAGATTGGTTACTCCCATCTTTCCCTCACCATGGCTTTGTGGTTTAAGTTTCACTAGACATCAAGTAGACATATACTACTACAAAATAATTATGCAACCGTCGTCATATTTTAAAAGACGACAGTTTTATAAAACCATTGTTGTATATTACCTTACACACTGCTAAAGGGGGTTTGATTTTAAAAACACGACGCTTGTCAATTAACAAGCGTCTTCTTTCAAAACGCGCTGGACGAAAAGAGGCCCTTAAGCGATCTTAAATTTTCAGATTTCTCCCCATCGCTCAAAAAAACCTCTCCCTCCTTTTGAAACCCTCAATAACTCTCTGGATCTCCCTCAACCCTCTTAAACACTCCCTCTCACCTCCGAAGCACTCATCTCTATAATGTTCACTGCCATCGTCACCAAGCTTGCTGGCATAGGAGACGGAGTTTGCAATTTAACGTTATAGGCCACTTGAGCCCCTTGGATGCCGTCGACATCGAGCTCGCTGGCATAGGAGGTCACAATCTCTTCCTCTTCTTCTTCTCTCTAGCTATGGTTTCATTGTATGCATCAATTTAGGGTTCTTCAAGTTGGGGTTAGGTTTATCAATTAATTTTGGGGGGGTTAGGTTTTTCGATGTCTGATTTTTGGTTTAATAATTCGTGTCCGATGCGATTAGTATCAGATCTAGTCGGATCGTCGACATGCCTCGGCTCCAGCTGAGGAAGAGAAGTTGGAGAAATATGAAATTCCACCATCCCTGCTCCCCCCCCGCCCCCCAATACAAGGCTAAGCCTGATGAGTCCAAAGCTTTTGCTGTTATTGAGAGTAAATTTCTCCATATCTCCCTCACTTTATTGAACTTTGTTTTTGCTAAAGCTATAACTTCTATATGCTTGGTTGTAAGAATTTGATTTTCTTATTCTTGATTTCTTGGGACTTGTTTAAAATATATGTTCTGTTTGTAAATGGAAGATCCTTCTAGACCTCACTTGTGCAGACAGCGGCAGACTTTGGGGTAAGCTATGTGTATGTTTCACTCTTTTCTTTTATTCTTGGAATTTTCTTTTTCAATTTCACACAATTTATGACAAGGCAGAACAATTGCCTTCCAATTTGCAGAGCTTGATTTTGATATTTATTCCCTTTTCAAGAAATTGATCTGAAGCAGTCTCATATTTGTGGAGACTTCTTTGTCTAACTCATCATGTACAAACCAAAGAGTTATTTGTATTTCTTTGAGTTTTACTGACTTCATTTTTAAAAATCTCGAAATTCATTGGTGTGCATAAAAAATACAACAGCCACAAATTTGGATTTTACCCATCCTCATTGAGAATTAAAACCATCCTCACTTTGGGTCTAAAGACCAAATTTTGGTTTGTCATAAGGAAGAGTCTGTGGCAGAAGGTTGAAGGCTTTGCATCTATTTTGACTTGGCTACTCACGTGCTTCTGGTATATCCTTCTTCCTTCTTTTTATTTTTGTTTTTAATCAGGTAGCTTTAATGCTTTGGCATGCTGCTTTGTCTTGTGAATTTGAAAACTGACAAGTTTGCTTGCAAACTTGCAAAGTGCCCTTCTTCGTTGTTTGGCAGATTGAGATGGTGCCCTGTGCTGTGGCCTTGTGTTTATTTCCAAAGTTGGAAATTTCATCTTTGCTTGCACCTTGCACCAAGAGGTCAGTTGTCCTGCAACCTTTCCTTTCATGCTTGAACCTCTTTGCTATTTGTTGTTTTTTGTGAGTTATGAAAATCATACAAAATGGGTATCGTGTTTTTCCCTTACAGACCCCCAGATAAATTAAGTCATCCTTACTTTATCTCCTTTTGTTTGGTTTTGTGCAGACTTGATAGGAAGACTTTACTATATTTCTGTGAGTTCTGTAGTTCTTATTCTTGTTTTGCATTTTTCCTTTCTTGAATTTTTCTTTAATACTCATCCTGTTTTGCATTGTTCCTTTCTCTCTGCTTGAAAATGTTTGATCTTTGCACATAAACTTCAGCTTCAACTGTACATTCAAATTCTTCATTACTGTCTAAATTTTGTTGGTTTGTTTGCTGAGGAAAAAAAAAAAGGAGAAGTGAGATTCTTACTTTGTTGGATCACAAGAAATGGATAACACTATACAAATAAGCTTATGGTAGTATTAGTTTTCAATATAGTTGTGGGGTTGGTTTCTTGGGTTCTTGAATTGATAAACCATTTTCCAATACATTTCTCAACAACCAAACAAAAGAGAGTAATTGCTAGGAATTTTCTCCTTTTTGTGACTTGCAACATGCAAATAGTACATCAACTGACTAGATATTAAGGTACTTTTTGCACGTTTAAGTAGTTGATTTTTCAAATTTGCACATTTTAGTTCTTAAATTTGGCCATTTGTGTTAATGTAACTGTGTATTTAATGTGTAGCTAATTACGTTTATATATCTGAATTTGGTTTTAATGGAATTTTTAATGCAGGTTGCTCAAGTGCTTCTCACACTGCCATGCATATTCATTTTCCCAACTGGATTTGCTATATGGGATTCTATTTCAGCTTTTTTATGGGTTGGTGGGAAGCTGGACTGCTTATCTCATTAGTCAACTATATGTTGAGTACAGAACTACAAGGGAAAGAGCAAAGGTTGATTTTAGGAATCATGTAATTTAGTATACTCCATTATTTAGGAAGTATGTATGTGATAGGAATAAAGATTGATTAACTATGTAATAATATTGAATCTTCAAGTTTTATGAAATAAACAATTTTTGAGTATGTGTTCATCAATAAAACAATATAGTTGGAATTCTAGTTAAAATTGTTGTAGATGACGGATTTACAATACAACAGTCGTCTTCATAGCTAATCAACGGCGATTTTTAGGCATTAATTAACTGTCATCTTTACAAACAATTCACGACGGTTTTTGTAAACAAACTGTCATCTTTATTCATATAATTAACGATCTTTACTTCAAACGACGACGGTTTTTAACAAAAACTGTCGTCTTTATATGAAAACAACTGTTTGTGGCAAAAACCGTCGTCTTTACATCTAATAGACGACGGTTTTTTAAAAAACCGTCGTTTTTACATATAATAGATGACGGTTAATTACCGTCGTAGTTTGACATTCAAAAATATGACGGTCGATTTAATGACGGTTTGAAAAAAAAAAGACAACGATGTTTTCCCGTCGTCTATTTCAATTTTTGTAGTAGTGATATAGGAATATATGCAGCTAACTACATCACACATCTGTCGAAGAACACTCACACAATCTTAGTATATCGAATTCTCCATGCAGGGAAACCAAGGTAGCATCTTGCAGGTCCGTAAACCAATAGGAGGTCAGGGTCTGGCCCTCTACAACCTGAAAGCATATTACCATAAACACCTCTGTAAGGTCAAATTGAATTGTGCAGGTAACCATTATTGTAGATGATGTGATTAATTGCAAGTGGACAATATCGCTCAAATTAATATAGTAGTAAGTAGAGTATCGTTCCAACAGGGATTAAGTAATCTATTAAATACTAGAGTGATTTATTTCTAATTATAATTGAATTAAACAAAAAGAGAATTATGATGATTAAAATCTAATTAAGCAAACAAAATAAAGTGAGATTAAGAAAATAATGTAAAATATGAAAACAAAGATGATAAAGCACTAGGGCACCGATTTCACCTAGCTAATCCCACCCAAATCTTTCTAGCTTGTTAATTCTAATTACTTAACATATTGATAATCGTTTTCCCTTACCTCACCAATACTCTCTTCCGAGTTATATTAGTTGTATTCCTTACCATCAACCCACTTTATTCCTAGTTATGGATTTAGATAGCTAAGAACCTATTAAGATTTGTGGAAAACAATAAAGATTACACAAACCATAACCTAGTCTTCTGAGTCGGCTATGTAATTTATGGTACTTGTTACTAGAAGCTTTTTATTAGGAATCTCCTTCCGGTCTCAACCTAATTCTTCCAATCATGCAATTAGTGGCCAATTAATTAAAAGTATTAAGAACAGTAACAAGCACTCAACATGTATAGATAAATAAAATTAACAATATCAAAGAATTTGAGTATTCATAACTAGGTTACATCGTAGCCCTAATAAAAGAAATTAGTTCATGAATGACTTCTGTATACCAATAGTAGAAAGCGTCTGACATCAATCAGGATAGCAAACCACCATTACCTTCTGTATCGTAGAGGCACACACGCTTCACACCAATAGCTTCTAGCCACCGCAGCAGCTCAATTACTTTTGATGTTTGGTAAGCTTCTTCACTTTCTATCACAATTGCCAGGCACCGTAGCTTGCCGAAATTAAGGGCTTTGTAGCTCATAAGATAGCTTTGAAGCACATAAGCTAAACCCAATAGAAAGTACCATACGCTGACAAAAAGGTGTAGAATATGCCATAGGAGCAGAAGCCCGAGATTGCCAATCTGCAGCAGCCACACGCAGGATCAACATTGACTTTAATATCAAAATAGGTAGCATACGAAATGAATGAATATCAATCAGCCATAATCATCCAATATACATGACTTTTCTGATATTGCAATAAATGGTCCAATAATTCAAAAAGCTTGCAATCTTTTCAGGCTCATAATTTATCTTAAAAGTTTATTACCTACATTAAAACTCATTTCCAATTACACGAACAGAGAAACAACATCAATTACACAAAGCCATCATCCAAAGAATAGAGCTTCAAAGAAGCCTTCTCTGCACTACTTTATTCTTTTGTCAAATTATTTGGTGAGGTAGAAAACAAACTCAAGAACAACCTCGCTATAATGTACAGATCAAGAACAAACTCAAGATCTGCCTTCTCTGCACTACTTTCCGCATGCCAATTTTAAAGAACAACCTCGCTATAATGTACAGATCAAATCCAATCATATTCTTTTACTTCATTATGCCACATGAAGGTGCTTCAACTATGTAGAAGACAATAAGAATTAATAGGCCCTTTCTTATATGGACTACAACAAATATCTGAATTTAAAACAAAACGCAAAGTGGAACTAATAAGCACATTTAAAAGCTTGTCAATACCATTTTTTATGATCACACCAATCTTTTACAGAGACTATTCTATTGTTCGCCTACATGACCATTTTTAGTTAGATTGATTATGCTTCCAAAATAAATTGAAACATATAGACTAATTTCTCTTTTGTGGGCTAAAATCATCTAGAGCAAAGCCTCAACCTCCAACCAGGAAACACCAAATGAACAACCATCCAGCAATCTAATTACAATGTAAAAAGAGTAAACTTCTAACAGGTAATTTGCGCTGGAAATTAAAGAGCACACGATATGTATCAGTCCCTATGTTGCATCGATACGGATACGAGTACTCCGATACTATACGATACACCGATACAACCAAGGGCGGAACCAGAAATTTTTCAATGAGTGGGCTAGCTAAAGTTATTAGCTTAAAATCAAATGATAATTTTTTTTTGTACTTACATTTTCTATAGTAAAATGCTTCTCTTTTGGAGACAAATTAATATAAAATTTTTAAAATTGATGTTGGGACAAACTTTGACACCAAATACAAATGTGGAAGACCTCTTACTATGCCTATTGGTGTTGAAATTGTATATATATTTATTTGTTTTTAGTTAAAATATTATGATATATGTATATTTAATTTATTTTTTATCCAAACCTTCCCTGGGCTACAGCCAAGGGCAGCCCTTGCCTTGGTTCCGCCCATGGATACAACAAATCTCCAAAAAGTAGGATACAGGTACGGCACCGATACTATAATTAAAATAATATAAATATATAAACATATATATGTAAAATTATATATATATATATATGTAAAATTAGCATTTTGGGCAAGTCAATCTTTAATCATTTGATTCATGTTATGGCATTTTATCATAAACTTTAATTATAATATCTTACGTCTCATCATGCGATAAGCTTTAAAATGATATTTTTCATCAAAATATAACACATCCGCCTAAAATACAAATTAAAAAACTCTCGTCATTTCCTCAACAAGACTGAGTCAATGAAAAGCCTAAGCGAACCTTTAGAAACAAGCGAAATGTATATGTTAATTACTTATATTGTAGGTTTTAACTCAAGTTGTGGATTAAGTTATTGGCCAGAGCAATGTGTCCACCCCCTTACACCCAAGTTTGAGTCCCCTTCCTTAGATTAGATTAATTTATAATCATTTAGATTATTAATTGTATTTTTAAAAACGAGTTTTAACTCACATGTTTAGGCTATTTCAGAATTTGGAGTAGCAAACTCCAAACAGGGATTCTACACCCCAACACAAACAAGACCACTATATAAAAGAAATCTTTTATTCATGTTTTTGAATTGAGTATGATATTTGATCGTTTTGTAAGTCTTAATAGGTTTATATGAACTAAACACATACCTTGATCAGACATGATGTTCACAGGAAATTGTCTTGCTTATTCTGCTGTAAAGAAGTCTTCTCTGCTATCCAGCTCTTTATCTCTCTCTAGATGGGGTGAGAATAATATTGAGTGTGTATTTAGCCGATAGCACACGGACATCTTTTTATAGGCTTTACTTAAGACTCCTCCTCATCAAAGACGTCTTAAGTTTTCCTCAAGCCAGTAGAATTAGCTGCTTCAATCCACATAAAATTAGGAAATCTGAAGCACTTTTGTATTTATCAAACAATGACTTATACAATCCACATAAAATTACTTAAGATAGATGAAATACGTACTCCTAATTGGCATAGAACTAGATATCCTTAAGTGATTAGAAGACCATCTCAGTATTTGATTTAGAATGCAAATTCTTACATTCTCCCACTTGGTCAATTAATCACTAAAGAACTATGTCAATTACTGTAAGGCCTTGTGAAGTACACATTAATCTTGTTTCCTTACCTAAAGAGAATATCACTCCGGTTCATCCCAGGGAATCAGTTGATTTCCCCAAATCAGACTTGACAGATTCTTCCCCCCAAGATCAACGACATATTAGCTAGAATTGATTCATAACATATATGAGATTATTGTACTTACCATGTATTGCTTCTTTCTGTAAATAGACTTGAGAAAGTCTACTCTCTGTACATTATATACGGCTGCAATACAGAAACCAAATACACTGGTTGATTCAATTACTCTCCTCCTCTATCTCTCATCTCCCCTCTCCCCCTGAACTCTGTTTCTTATATGGTATCAGAGCTCTTCGGAGCCAAAGCTCACGTTTTTCGATCCTACCCAATCAAATGGCAAACACACCCAAGTCTGGAGAATCAAGTCATATTGATATGACAAAACTGATTTCTGAAATGTCAAAGCTTGCCTCACCCCCATTCTCATTCCCATCCTTGCCCACCTCTTTCAACATCTCATCTCTGTTCCCAATTCCCATGGACAGAACCAACTATTTGAGTTGGAAATCACAATTTGAAGACGTATTGGAGATGCATGGCCTTGCAGAGGTCATCAAGAAAACCACAGACCCACCCAAAGTACAAGAAGATGGCTCTGTGCATCCTGAGTTCGCCAGAGACAAACTGGTCATGAGTTGGATCAAGGCGACTTCCTCCTCTTCCATAAAGATTCTACTCATCCCGTGTACCACCGCCTATCAGGCTTGGAATCTTCTGGGCAAGCGCCTCTCACCCCTTGCAGGTACCCGTGTGCGGATCCTTCGAGACCAAATTCGCACCCTCAGGAAGGACAACACCACAACTGTGACTGACTACCTCAACCATGCCAAATCACTTCTTGATTCCCTCATACAAGCTGGTGCAACAATGGATGATGATGAATTCGTTAGCTATGTTCTAGACGGACTTGGGCTTGAATACAAGGAGTTAGCCACCACACTCCACTTGCACCCAGATATTGGGTTTGACCAGTTTTATGATCTCGCTCTCAGAGAAGAACAATTACAGAAACGCATGTCGCTCAACGTGGCCTCAGGTGTTGCTATGGCTGCTGATCGAATGCCCAATGAGCGAAAACCTCATTCAAACTCCGCTGGTCGCCATCACAACCCCTGGCATGGATCTGGACGAGGACGTGGACGTGGCAAAAATTGGATTCAAGGGCACAATGGGCAAACAGATCCGTGGAAATCAACCCAAGGAAATTGGCCACAAGGACACAACACTCAGCCTCGCGACCAGCAGATTGCACCATCTGCCCCTTCTCACGCAACTCTTACAGATGGACGTCCACCACTCCTTCCAACACCACCTGGCAATTCTCCAAATACCCAGCGCTCAGAAGTCATTTGTTATCGGTGTGATAGGCCTGGTCACATAGCCCGCTTCTGTCCAGATCGTAAGCCTCATGCCTACGTGGCTGAAAATGCTGTCAACCCGTCTCCTTCTACTGATGATATGGCAAACCTCAATTGGTGTCTTGACTCCGGTGCTACCCATCACATGACCGCCCACACCGCTTCTCTACCGCATGCCCAGCCTTACACAGGTACTGATACAATTGTTGTTGGCAATGGGAATCAGTTAGCAATAACACATATTGGCAATACTAAAGTGATCGGGTTACATAAGTCCTTAAACCTTAATGAAGTGCTATGCGTACCTGCAATACGAAAGAATTTGATCTCTATTCGTCGTTTTTGTCGTGATAATGACTGTTTCTTTGAGTTGGATGCTAATGGTTTTAATGTCAAGGACATTAAGACGGGGACGGTACTTCTTACTGGCAGTAGTTCTGATGGGCTTTATCACATTCAGGCAACCCCACATCTTGCTCGTCAACTTGCATTCTATGGAGAGCGCACGACACAGGAAGTGTGGCATGCACGCCTTGGACATCCATCTCATTCAGTTTTTACAACCTTGTTGAATAAGTACCATTTACCTGTTAATGGTACCATTATCTCCAATAAAAATTGTCATATTTGCCCATTGGGAAAATCTCGTAGACTGCCTTTTGAATACAGACAGCTTCATGCTCAATCCCCATTAGCACTTTTACATCTTGACGTATGGGGGCCCGCGCCGGTCTCCTCAAATTTTGGATACCGTTATTATTTGTCCATTGTTGATGACCACACTCGGTTCACTTGGCTATATCCTTTAGCTAAGAAGTCAGATGTCTTTCCTACATTTATTACCTTCAAAAAGATGGTGGAAAATCGGTTTAGTTCTAAAATCAAGCAGTTGCAGGTTGATGGTGGGGGTGAATTTATCAACAAATTATTCCTCACATTTTTACGTGATCATGGCATATCGCATCAAATTTCTTGTCCCTACACTCCCCAACAAAATGGAGTGGTGGAAAGGAAGCATCGCCATATTGTTGCAATGGGTCTCTGTCTGCTAGCCCAATCGCGATTGCCTCTTAGTTTTTGGGTTGAAGCCTTTTCCACTGCAGTCTTTCTGATCAATCGCTTACCAACACCGCAGCTTGATAATCTGTCTCCCTATGAGAAGCTCCTTCACCGTTCACCAGATTACAAATTTCTCAAAAGTTTTGGATGTACTTGCTTTCCCCACCTGGTGCCATACAACAAGCATAAGTTATCGTTTAAATCTCTTCCATGTGTATTTCTTGGTTATGACGATCACTATAAGGGTTATCGCTGTCTTGATCCTTTTTCAGGTCGCATCTATACTTCTCGGAATGTGACCTTTGATGAAACAACCTTCCCTTACAAGCAGCCCCAGCTTCCATCCCCCTTGCACTCAAATGGGCTTCAACCTCTCTCTCTTGCCGACCAGCCCATATCTCTTGGGCCCTCTAATTCTCTGGTCAGCCCTTCTCCCTCATATCCCTCATCTCTTAATCCCACAGGCCCATCACTTCCCCATATTTCTTCTGACCCTATCAGCTCCCCCAATTCCTTCGACACCCCCTTGTTCTCCCCTCTGTCCTCCTCTGTATCCCCAACGACACTGACCACGAACCCAGCCGATCCTTCTCTGGTATCCAGCATCCCCCCTTCGCCGCCCCTTTCCACAGACCCATCGCCTTCAATTTCCCGAGACCTATCCTTCGACTCTGACAGAACAACCCCACCCCTTACCCCACCTCCCACTTCTTCACCTCTTGACCCATCGATTTTCCCTAACTCTCCCGATACACCCAATCCTCCACAAAAATTCAAGAGCCTCCAAACCATTGTCCCATTTGGTCCAGAACCCAAACCCCTCTACTCTAAAACCAGCCCCCATCCCTTACCCCTTGCCCTTTCTGCTGAAGCTTCTGATCCCATGTCCCTTGAACCTACCAGCTTTACCCATGCTTCCAAACACAGCCACTGGCGTGATGCTATGCACGATGAATATGCTGCACTCATGAAGAATCAGACCTGGTCCTTAGTTCCTGCCACCTCCCGCATGAATATTGTGGGGTGCAAGTGGGTCTTCAAAGTTAAACGGAGGGCAGATGACTCAATTGACAGATACAAGGCTCGTCTTGTTGCCAAGGGTTTCAATCAGAAGGAAGGCTTTGATTATGCGGAAACTTTTAGCCCGGTGGTCAAACCGGCTACCATTCGCACTATATTGTCTCTGGCACTTTCCTACAATTGGCCTCTTCAGCAATTGGATGTTCGTAATGCCTTCTTGAATGGGTACTTGCAAGAGGAGGTCTACATGAAACAACCCCCTGGTTTTCATGATCCCTCTCACCCTCAGTATGTTTGTCGGCTCCACAAGGCTCTGTACGGCCTTAAGCAGGCACCTCGAGCTTGGTTCCAACGTCTTAGTGCCTTTCTCCTTGCCCAGCACTTTGTTCACAGTCACTCTGATGCATCGCTCTTTATTCGTCGCTCCTCTTCCTGCACAGTGTATGTTCTAGTGTATGTGGATGACATCATTGTTACTGGCTCTCCCTCACCAAGTGTCGACCACTTCATTGATCAACTATGTTCAACTTTTGACAGCCGCCGTATGGGTGAGCTCAACTTCTTCCTTGGCATGGAAATTAATCGGTTTTCTGACCATTTATTTCTCTCTCAGACTCGCTATGCAGTGGATTTATTGACCCGGTTTCATTTGACTGAATGCAAACCATCTCCTACCCCTTTGCCCTCTAACACTCGGCTCTCTTGTCTGGATGGTGATCCTTTGCCTGATCCATCCACCTATCGGAGTATGGTGGGTGGCCTCCAGTATCTTACCTTGTCCAGACCTGATATTTCCTTCGCTGTCAACCAGGTGTGCCAGTTTATGCACAACCCTCGAACCTCTCATCTTCAAATTGTCAAGCGCATTTTTCGGTACATTAAAGGTACACTTGAGCAAGGTCTTATCTTCCATAAGTCCAATGATTTTTCCTTACGGAGTTTCTCTGACGCTGATTGGGCTGGTTCTGTTGATGATCGCCAGTCTACTACTGGTGCTTGTGTTTTCCTTGGCCCCAATCTTCTCACATGGACTGCCAAGAAACAGTCTACTGTTTCTCGCTCTAGTACTGAAGCTGAATATAGAGCTCTTGCACATACTGCAGCCGAACTTCGCTGGTTTGGTTACTTGTTTCGTGAACTGGGCATTCCCCTTCGCTCTGCCCCCTGCATCTATGTTGACAATCTCTCTGCTCTCTATATGGCTGCCAACCCTATTTTTCATGCTCGCACCCGGCATATCGAGATCGACTACCACTTTGTTCGTGAATTAGTTGCTCGAAAGGCTCTTCGTACCTCCTATGTTCCTTCCTCTCATCAGCTTGCTGACATATTTACTAAAGGTCTGGGTCGTAATCGGTTTTCCCTTCTCAAATCCAAGCTTAATCTCCGCGTTGCTCCGCTACGCTTGAGGGAGGGTAAAGAGAATATCACTCCGGTTCATCCCAGGGAATCAGTTGATTTCCCCAAATCAGACTTGACAGATTCTTCCCCCCAAGATCAACGACATATTAGCTAGAATTGATTCATAACATATATGAGATTATTGTACTTACCATGTATTGCTTCTTTCTGTAAATAGACTTGAGAAAGTCTACTCTCTGTACATTATATACGGCTGCAATACAGAAACCAAATACACTGGTTGATTCAATTACTCTCCTCCTCTATCTCTCATCTCCCCTCTCCCCCTGAACTCTGTTTCTTATATTACCAAGCCACTATCAGCAATGAATTGTGTTATTGAATCATCAAGACTGACCAAAGAAAATCTATGAAGTCTTTATAACCACAGTTATCACTCTTCATTGTCACATAATGCTGCTGTCAAGATTGAAACTACAGAATAGTCACAGTTAACTGAAAGTGAAATAAACACTATGACTATTCTTACAATCCAACTTATAGGATTACTCAAGATCCTTTCTTTTGCTCTAGGCAAAAGATATCACTGTCATGAATATATTGTTTCAACAGTTATCTTTAAGCTAGCAACAACCTTATTCACTGTTTACTGCATTCAAGTAACAAATAAACATAATATATATATATATATAGTAAATTGAATTAAAACTATACCAACATCCATCGAAACCAAAACCTTCAACTAGTTAAAGAAATAACCATACTATCTATAAATAGAAAAACTTGAAATGACTAATGAAACTGCTCCCACTGTTTCTAAGCATCAAAACCAGCCAATAAACCCATACTAGTTACATGCCTCTTGAAAACACCATTTGGAAGCCCTTTATTAAATGGATCTGCTATCATTAATTTTGTGCTGAGGTGATCTAGTGCAATACATCCTTCACTAACCTTTTCCTTAACATATAGGAATTTTAATGATAACGGCTTGCCTCCAATCCACCTCTTGTTTCCTTTTGCAAACAAAACGGCTGAACTGTTATCATTCCATATTTGTATAGATCTTTCTATTGTTCCCAAAACTGTCAGGCTTGTTAGAAAATTCTTTAATCAGATTGCTTCACATGTAGCCTCATAGCAAGCAATGAATTCAGCTTGCATAGTTGAAGTAGTTATAATAGGCTGCTTAACACTTCTCCAAGAAACTGCTGCTCCTCCAAACAAAAAAATAAAACCTGAAGTGGATTTTAAGTCATCCATACATCCAGAAAAATTAGCGTCTGCATAACCAACCATTTCTAAGTTGTCACTTCTTTTATAAATCAACTTAAAATCTTTGGTTCTCTGCAAGTATCTCATTACTTTCTTCCCTGCGACCCAATGAGCTTGTCCTGGATTTGACTGAAACCTTCCCAAAACACTTATAGGAAAAGCAATATCAAGCCTTGTGTAGACTTGAGCATACATAAGGCTGCCAACTAGAGAAGCATAGGGTTTATCTACCATTTTCAGTTTCTCTTGATTTGTCTTAGGTGCTTGTTCTCGACTAAGTTTATCTCCTTTGTTAATAGGCACATCTCCTCCAACACAATCCATCATATTAAAACTTTTGAGTATTTTCTCAATGTACCGTTTTTGTGAAAGTCCTAGATAACCTATTTTCCTGTCTCGACTGATTTCTATTCCAAGAACATATGATGCTTCTCCCAAATCTATCATTTCGAAGTGCTTGGACAGAAAAACTTTGACATTATGTAATAAAGTGAGATTACTGCTTGCTAAAAGAATATCATCCACATAGAGTATAAGTATAATGAAATGCCTCCCACTGACCTTGACAAATATACATGAATCAAGAACGTTTTTTGTAAAACCATATATTTTGATAACCTCATCAAATCTCATGTACCACTGTCTCGAGGCTTGTTTCAAGCAGCCATATATTGATTTGCTCAATTTGCAAACCATGCTTTCCTATCCTTCTTGAACAAATCCCTTAGGTTGCTGCATGTAAATTTCTTCTTTCAAATATCCATTTAGGAATGCAGTTTTAACATCCATTTGGTGAAGATGTAAATCAAAATGTGCAACTAATGTTATGATCATTCTAAATGAATCTTTAGTAGATACTAGTGAGAAAGTTTCAGTGTAATCAATGCCATCTTGTTGTGTATATCCCTTGGCAACCAACCTAGCCTTGTATCTGTCTATTGCACCTTTTGAGTCTCTCTTGGTCTTATATACCCATTTGCAGCCTATAGGTTTACTTCCTTGAGGTAAATTCTGTAATTCCCAAACATCATTCTTTCTCATTGAATCTAACTCAGATTTCATTGCAGCTAACCACTTCTCATTGTCTTCACTTGTTATAACTTGCTTAAAGTTCACAGGATCTTCTTTTCCAAATATGTCATTTTTTGATTCTTGCATATATACATAGTAATCTGGAAACGCATGCCTTCTTGCTCTTTGCGACCTTCTCAATTCCACATCCTGCATATTTTGATCTATGCCTTGAATGTCATTATCATTTTGTACAGGTGGATTCATAGTTTCTGTTTGAACTATGTCTTCTTCCATATTGTCTGACTCCTTATAACTCAAGTCAACTGTAGGTATTATAACAATGCCTTCATTTGCATTTGATCCAGTAGTATTATCTATTTCCTTAATTTCTTCATCGAAGTTCAGATTTCTTTCTTCTATTGTGTCAGACTCGGTTTCCATGAAGACTGCCCTTTAAGTGTCAACAAATTTTGTAGTGTTTTTTGGACAATAAAACCTATATCCTTTTGTTCCCTCAGGATAACTTACAAAGTAACAACTCACAGTTCTTGAATCTAGTTTCTTTTCTACAGGGTTGTAGAGTCTTGCCTCTGCTTTGCAACCCCAAACCTTTAAGTGGTTTAAGCTAGGATTCCTTTTATTCCATATTCCAAAAGGAATTTTGTCAAGACTTTTTGTTGGAACTCTATTCAATATGTAGTTTGCAGTCTTCAAGACTTCTCCCCACAATAAATAAGAAGATTGGTACAACACATCATACTTCTAACCATATCTCTTAAGATCCTATTCCTTCTCTCATAAACTCCATTTTGCTGAGGTGTACCTGTACTACCCCTTGTGGGTCCCGAGGGACGGAGGAGGCTATGTTAGCCGAAAGATGGTTATCGGTTCAAGGACGCGGGGTGCCCCTGATTTTTCAGGGTAAGAAGGGGTAGAGAAAATGCCTCGAGCCAATGTTCGAGTCAAGAGATAGATAAATAGACACATCCCATTGCACTGATCGGGGGCGTTCGTAGTGACTGAGGGGGTCGAAGACCAAGACGTGAGTTATTTATCACCCAAGCATACTTCTTGAGCTATTATGCCTTCTCATTGCAAATATTTTGCAAAGGGGCCTGGATTCCTACCAGCCACATCAAATCTGCAATAGTATTCTCCACCTTTATCTGATCGCACCACCTTTATTTTTAATTCCAGTTGCCTTTCTACTTCTGTTTTATAAACTTTGAACATATCTAATGCTTCAGACTTTTCTTTTATTAAGTAGACATGTCGAAATCTAAAGTGATCTTCTGTGAAAGTGATGAAGTACTTATAAGCTTCATGTGTTGGATTTGGAAAAAGACCACAGATATCTGTGTGAATTACTTCCAACAAATTTTTCACTTCTTATTGCTCATTTCTTTCTCAAGTTTGTCAATTTTCCTTTTATGCATTCAACACAGTTTTTCATCCATGTCGTTAAAGTCAATTGGTGGTAGCACTGATTCTTTTGAGATATGGCCAAGCCTTTTATGCCAAAGTTTTGATGATATCTGATTCTTTTGTTTTGTATTTACAATGTTCATAACCATTTGAGGCGGTCTGCAGTTCAATTGAAACATGTTTCCAACAAGAGTTCCATTTCTAACTAATTCTTTATTATTGAAAATCGAAAAACCAAATTCATCAAATCTCAAAGTGAGTTTTGATTTAACAAGCCTAGCAACTGAGATAAGGTTCCTCGTCATAGAAGGAACATAGACTACATCTACCAAATCTAAAACAAATCCAGAATCTAATTGAATCCTCACTGCTCCAATGAACTCCACTTGTGCTTTGACTCCATTGCCCACGAATACCAACGCTTGCAAAGAATTAGCAACTTGTATTGAAGCACCACTATCCAACCACCAAGTGTCAACTGAAACCTCAATCATATTTGATTCAAAACAGACCAAAATATTTTCATTCTTACCTTCATTCTTACCTTTGTTCTTCTGTTTCTCTAACCACCTCTTGTACCTCTTACATTCCCTTTTCATGTGTCCAAATTTTCTACAAAAGAAGCATTTCAGTGCAGTTGGTTTTCCTTTTTTTGTTTTGGTACTGTCTTGGTCTTTCTTTTCCCCAAAAACTGTCTTTTTATCCTTGTTCTACTTGCCACGATAATCTTGAACCATGTTCACAGCTTTCTGACCTCTCTCCATTATGATGTTAAGCTCTTCTTAAACACTAATGGTTATGTGAAGACCCGTATTTTAAAATATATAAATATATATTGGTTATATTTTTAATTATCTTGGTACATAAAATGTAAACATTGTTGTTATAATTTTTTTTTACTAATTATTATACTACTACAATAATAACTTATATATATATATATAATTGTTTTGTTTTAGGTGTTATACTTTTAGATTTTGTTCTTAGTTATTAAAAAAGAAAAAAAAAAAAAAAAAAGAAGAAAAGTAGTAGTAATATTAGAAATAAGTTTATGCATTGCTTTTAACTTTATCTCTTCCTTGCCGACCAAGTTGAAGTGGCCTAGATAAATTGTACAAACACACTTAAGATTCCAAGTGTCAATCTATTGAGATGACTAAGCCTTATTTAGCATGAGGTGTTGGCAAGTTGATAAATAGCTATCCTAAACTTGGAGATCAAGTTCATACGTGGTCATCACCTCTCCACCAATTAGAACAATTTGAAACCTCTTGAGTTTTACTATAAATAGGACACTTCCTTTGTTTTTTCGAAAGCATTTTTACCTGCATGAAAGTTCTTACAAAGAGAGAAGAAAAAACGTAGAGGGAGAGAAGAAAAAAAAACGTAGAGGGAGAGAGAACAGTAAGGAAATTCTTGGAGGAGGTACTTAGCTTGGGTTTTCATAATTTGGAGCTAGCTTTGGAGTTAAGGTAGGGGTTTCTTGGGGGGCCTTTTTCAGAGATTGATTTAATTAAATTTCGTGAGCATAATATTATACATGGTACTGTTTGATTTACGTACTCTTAACTGTTTGAACAATGTGGGCATGATTATATGTACATTAGTGATATTTAAATGATTACATTGTTTTTATGTGATATGTGAACTATATAATGTCATGGAAATTATTTGGAGTTCTGGGGTTGAGAAAATAATGGTGGAAAAAGAGGGTAATGGGAGTGGTCTTTTGTGTAGTTGAGTCTAACTCTTGGCAGGTACCAGGTCTCAGGGATCCCACAGTGCACATGAGTTTTATTGGGTGATTCGGGACTGGCGAAAGGGAGTTAGACAAGATGACTAACAAAAGGGGGAATTATGGATGATTAAAATGGGTGTTAGTTCATATAAATGGGCATTCGGGACCAAGTGGTATAAGCATGGTATGGGACGTGCAGGTCTGCTTGTCCAATTATATGAATTAACGGGATTAGATGAAGAGCATTCATGCATTGTTACTAATAATGTGAAATTTGGCTGCTTGATTATTTGTCACTTAATTTAATTATGTCAATTTATAGTAAAAAGGTTTATGTCCCTACTGAGCTGTGGTTTCGCTCACCCCCTAATAGATTTTGCAGGTACCGAACCTGAAATCTAAAGCTTGTGATTTTTGGCATGTCTATAGAATGTAACATAGCTTGTGGTTGAATAATGAGCTACTCTTTAAGTGAACTCTCGAGTAGTTCTAACTTGTAAAATAATGTAAAATTCTTATGGTTTCAAACGTTATCGTTTCCGCGTTTCTGCTGAATATTTTATGTGAAATATATCTATTTTATTTATTTAAATGTCTTCTTCACATTTTAGTTATAGTTTGTATTCAATTCTATAATTAAGATGTGAATCACATCGTAACCCAAGGTTTTGTAAATCCGAGGGTTGGGATGTGACAGGTTATAAGATCATCCAGCGTCCAACTTTCCTTCTGAGCCACATATGAACTCTTGAGAGTTTTGAACTCCTTTGACAGTAAGTTCAAGGCAAAATGCACCATCATGTCCTTATCTATAGTCATGTTCAGTTCCTTCAATTTGTGTGCAACGTCTGCCATGTTCATTATGTGAGCTCTCACACAACCTCGCCCATCATACTTCATCTCAGTTAATTTGTTCAACAAGGTACTTTTCTCTCCTTTCTCAGATTCTTTGAATTTTAGACCAATAGCAGCGAGGAATTCTTTTGCATTTTCTGATCTTGGAATGCTACCTCTTAAGAAAGGTGTCATGGGTCTCAGCATAATCAGTATATCCATCTTGTTAGCCTTTTCCCATTTTTCATATCTCCTTTTGACATATGCAATAGCATTGGTAGCAGGTTCCTCAAGTGTATCCCATTTTAGAGCTATGTCATAGTCCATTAGCCCTAGTGAAATTTACAACACTTCTTTCCACTTTAGATAGTTTAATCCAGTCAAGATTTCGATGGAGTTGTAACTTGAAGCACTCACTGTAAGTTTAAAGCAAACATAAATAAACATCCCCAAAATCTTTAGCTAAACATTATTGATTTGCACCTGTGAGTTACAAATCAAACATGTTCCATAGTACTCAGAACAACAGATCTGTATGAGCAATCTTGAAACAAGAAACATTTCCGCGTCTGTGGACAGAGGAATATTCATTGTTTGTTCAAACAATCTGTTTTCCATACTATTCCATTATAAACAGCCCTTTCTTGAACGATTCACATCTGTGAACAGAGAATTGTACAAGAAAGGTTGAATATAATGCAATTTTGATCAAGAACTTCGAATGAAGAATCTCTTGTACCAATTGAGTTGCTATGGCTCACTCAATTGATCCAAAATCCTCCCCAAACATTGATCATTAGTCTTTCAAGCATGATTTAAGCAGGAAACTTTATGCTCATCTCATACCTTATCAAATAAGATATGCAATGTATAATAATCAAAATATGCATGCTATAATGACTGGTGTTTTCTTTAAACTATATCATGTTGTAACATATGTATTAAAACCAGATTTTTTAGCCTTTTTCATGCGAGCCTTGATTTGTTTGTGATTAGGTTAAGAAGATACAACCTAATGCTCTAATACCACATGTAAGTCTTAATAGGTTTATATGAACTAAACACATACCTTGATCAGACATGATGTTGATAGGAAATTGTCTTGCTTATTCTGCTATAAAGAAGTCTTCCCTGCTATCTGGCTCTTTATCTCTCTTTAGAGGGGGTGTGAATAATATTGAGTGTGTAATTAGCCGATAGCACAAGGACATCCTTTTATAGGATTTACTTAAGACTCCTCCTCATCAAAGACGTCTTAAGTTTTCCTTAAGCCAGTAGAACTAGGTGTTTCAATCCACATAAAATTAGGAAATTTGAAGCACTTTGTATTTATCAAAACAATCACTTATACAAAGTCTAAAAGATAAATGAAATACGTACTCCTAATTGGCATAGAACTAGATATCCTTAAGTGATTAGAAGACCATCTCAGTATTTGATTTAGAATGCAAATTCTTACACGTTTTTCTCCAGGTATCCTAGAATTGCGTCCTTTGCCATTGCTCCTTCCTCGCTCTATCTGACATGAGCAGAGCCATGATTTAAAGTAAAATTAAACCAAAATCAGGAAAGTAAATCAATTCCTAATTAGAACCAGAAACTAAAAAGAAGTAACTAATAACTTAAAGTAACTAGAAATGCGTCCTTTTTCCTATTGTAGTAAGCTGGTTAAAGTGAGGTGGAGTTGCAGGTTCAATTCTGTTTGGTGCGCTTGGAGAACTAAACCCTACTTGATGAGAACTATGATCTGCCCATTGCAGGATCTCATTGAGTTTCCAAGGTGAGAGCATCACAATAGAAATTCAAATTCAACCAAGGCACAAGGTTTCGAAAGAGATAGAATTGCTTTAATTTAAAATAGGAAGAGACTTGATGCTAGAGAAATTCTAGTAAAGGCTGGTTCCATGCTAGTCATGCAAGAGATTCAATGTGAAAAATGAATTGTACGCAAGATTTATCCTCCTTAACCTTCGGCAACGGTAAAAGATTTGTTGAACCCAAGTTTTGAGCCAGGCAATCGCAGCATGAAGTACGTTAAGAAAAGCTTCTAAAGGGGGATTTTAGTACAACGAAACTGAAACAGGTAAAAAGGTGCAAACTAGAAACACAAAGACAATAAAGCCACAATCCAGGTAAAAGTGAGATGACCATTCCTTCGTCTACGATGCAGAGTTTCTGATTTACATAACAAAGCTTTTGGCATAACAAAGCTTTTGTTATTCCTTCGTCTAAGGTAAAAGTGAGATGCTTCAAGTAAAATTGTTAAACCATGTCCAAGCATCTGATGATCAAGTTCATTTTCTAGAGAACTAGAAGATGCAGAAGTCTGAAATAGGCTGATCCTGAGGCAACATGAAAAGCTTTACTCATTCCATTCATCCCTCGAGATCATTTTGACTTGTAACAAAATTACTGTTTCTTATGAAAGAGAACAGTTCATGAAAAGCATGTGAAGGAACTCAATGTAAAAGTACAAATATCCTAAAAAGAACTGATTTTGCTTCCTTTTTGTCAAGTGGATATGAATTGGAGGCCACCTCCTCTTCAGTAAAAAAAAAGGAATAGGTTTGGTTGGGGCAGGCAAGCGGCCGATGCTATCGACTTTGTCCTTCTGTTTTAGGGAAGGTCTCGCTGCCTTTGGCAATAACCTGCCTTTCTTTTCAAACCACTCAGGTTTCAGCAATGCTCGAAAGCCCAACTTGTTGTAATACACTCTTCTGACAGACCCACCTGCAGCTTCAATGGCTTCCTTTGCCCTCACAGTGACACGCGATACCTGCAAACCTCATTGTAAGTCCATTTTTGAGTTGCATGCAAGGAAAAGAGGAAGCTCCCATGATTTGCATGTAAGTGACAACAATGATATCAAGTGCACAAGGTTAGACTCAAGTCAATGTCAATATCAAAGTCTTGGAGATTACCTGACAAACCAGCACACAAAAGAATTATGGTGAAGAAAAAAAACCAAAAGTCTGACCTACTCAAATTAAAATTTATCTGCAAACTAGTTTAAGAAATCTAAGACCAAAGTTACTTGAGTAACTTTCATCCAAAGATATTTATATGAAATAAATTACCTAGTGAAAACATTTCAGGCCATCACCAAACTTCGTACTAATGAACATGATCGATCAACATTTTCCAGTCATAACGTGGTTTTTTTTATTTTAAATGAAAATAAAGTTTGAACTGTTCACATGGCCACAACCCCCTCACCCCTCCCCCCTCCCTAAAAAGAAAGATAATATACATAACAAAGCTTTTGTTATTCAATAAAAAAATAAAAAAGGACCCTCCACTATGTGATATTTTAATCCTAGAAATATGAAACAGTGGAGACCAATCTCTCTCTGTAATGTGATCTATAAAATTATCTCCAAAATTCTCACAAACCGTTTGAAAACTCTGTTTCCTCAGATTATTAGCCCTCACCAGTCGGCTTTGTTGCAGAAAGGCAGATCACGGACAACATCTTAGTAGTGCATGAGATCCTACATTCTCTTCAAAGGGGTAAGCGGTCCGATCCAAAGACCTTAGCTCTAAAGCTTGATATGGCGAAAGCTTTTGACCGCGTGGAATGGCCTTTCCTGATTGCAATGATAAAGAAGCTGGGCTTCCCTTACCAATTCTGCTCTTGGATTTTTCAATTTTAATTTTTTTATATAAAAAAAAGTGAATTTACTATATTATCCTCATTTAATTAATAATTTTAATTTTTAATGTTTGAATTAACTAAAGGTATTTTTTGGTATTTTGAATGTTTCACCATTCTCTGCCTTTTGCTTTATATATATAGATAAATTAAAAACACAGAGTACAGCCGTGCGGCTATACATTTTATAAATAAAAAAAAAGAACCCTCTATCTATTAGGCGCCACGTGTCAAAAATAGTGTCGCCGCCCACCTATACTATTTAATAAAAAATAAATAAACAATAAAAAAGGACCCCCTAGATGCATTAGTTTATACCTTATAAATATTAATTTGCTAGTTTCAACATATCCAAAGTATATATTAATCTTGCACCATATGATATTTTATTATAATTTTTATAACATAAGTTATTCTTATTCAATAATATGTAAGAATTATGTGTATAATATGGGAATTTTGTGCGTCTTATTAAGAATTTTGAAAAAATTACGTTTATAAAACATTAGAAATACATACGTACATGTACAATACGACTATTGTATGTTTGCCATCACGATTGGTGGGGCCTTCTTTATTTACACGGGAATTGGAGCATTGAGTTGAATCTTTCTCTATACAATGATGAATGATCCCTGAAACACAGGGCAAACCCCTAGAAGAAATGGAGCTTTTTTTTGGGTAAATACCATAGGTGGAGACAAGCCAACACGATGCTCAAGCATGGCACTTGTGGTTGTGGAGGTTGGAAAGCAGTAATAACAGCACCACAGGCTCTGCCTCCTCACTCTTCACTTGCCCATTACTTAATAACAGCACCTTGCAGTAGTTAAAAACTCGAACTTCATCAAATACAACATCTTTTCCTTTTCCACCAAGCTTCTCAGTACATAGTGCAAAAGATAACCCAACAAAAAATAAAAGAAGAAAAATGGAAAAAGATTGTGGATGAATCAATCTCACCTGCTGCAGACCATGATTAGCTTGAGGTGGTAATACAAGGTGACGAGAAATACAATCCAATCGCCTCCGTGCACTCTTCTCCATTGTCGTCGTCTTGTTTACATGTACAGCTCCTGGATCCTGCCCTCCGTAAGACTTCACGGAGACATATTTGTTCTTGGACTTTTGCTCTAATCAAAATCCTAATGGGTAGTTTTAGTTGAAGCCCATAAGGTTGATAATGGCCTTGACGAGATTGGGCTGACCTGTATTTATATGTATGGGATAAGTTTGCTGTTGTTCCAGTCTTGAGCGGGACAAATTTGATCACTACACCCAGGAGAGGTTACAATAAGGAGTTTAAAGTTAGGAGGCTATTTGAGGGGACCGATCCCACCATCAAAATATTTAAAATATTTAAGTCCCATGATTTCTTTACATTTGTTGATGGTGAGATTGACCTCCTCAAATAGCCTTCTCACTTTAAACTCCTTATTATAGCCTCTCCTCACTACACCCTAGCATAGCATCTGAAAATTTTCCCAGCTTTTCAATTTTGACCCTTTCTTTGATGTTTCTGAAAACTTCACAAGTAGTATAAAAAAAAATTTCAAAAATTTCAAAAATAAAATTGTCATTGTTGTCTTCATCTCATATGTCTTCGTCGAGTATAGTGAGTAAATTTTTTAGCGTGAATGGCAAGGCTCTTTATTCTTTGACAACATGTCCTAGGATCCGTTTGGAACTGCTATTTTAGGAAGCACTTCTGCTCATAATTACTTTTATTTTAAAAAAATTATAAGAAATCCATGTACTTTCTAGAGAAACACATGTTATGTGAAATAGGTGCTATGACCTATAGATACTTTTAAATATTTCTATCAAATGTTATCAAAAACGTTTTTTTATTGAAATAAAGGGCTTTTAGGCATTCCAAAATCACTCATAAACGTGATACTAGATATATAATTAGTTAGGCCTTTATTAGATGTATTATAAGAAATAAGCTTATCATAAATTGCCTGCCCAGTGCTTATCCAACCGCCCACCTTAGTCTATCCTTCTTTTTGGCCACCTTGTAAACAGTACATGCATGCATTTCCACTTGGTTCACTTCTTTATTTTCTCACCCTTTTTAGAAATTTTTGTTCATAATTAAGAAAATTGGAGAAGATCTTCTTCATACCCCTATTTAGGATGGTCTTCCACTTATCTTGATAAGTACGTGGTGAGTTTTATTAGACACTCATCTTTCTTAATACAATTACTAATCATTTATTAAGAGCATCTTCAGTGGGGGTTGTATAATGAGGTGTATGTTAAATATACACTATTTATTATCAGAATCACTTGCAATGGGCAGGTATAAATGATTGTAAATTTGCATAACAACCGTGAGATGCAAATTTAGATGCACATGTGCATCCTTTTTTACATCCCTTGCAGATGGGGCCTACATGAGAAAATATGAGAAAAGATAGATAAAAGTGAGCAAAAAGGCTGAATATAAAGATACATGCCCAAGACGCGTGGCTAGAGTAGTTGCTAGACAAAACTTCATACTTAATTTGTAGCCACATAAAATAAAATAATTCATTGTTGCTGATTACGCTTCTACAGTGAAACTCATAATTAATCAATTAATTAATAGGTAATATATATATTTAGTAGCTTGTTCTTCTGATAATTTTTCTGTGGATGAAATCATATCTTCTCCAAATTTAAATATTTTTAGGTCTATTTGTTTGAAAAAATAAAATAAACCTAATACACACAAAATTATTTATAAAGTTAACACAAAAATGAATTAAGACAAAAAAAAATCAATTATACATCTTTAGATTTACATATTCCTCATTGGAGTGAAAACCACATTTACAACATCCGGAGGTGTAAAGGGGATGTAAAAGTGGATGTTCTAACCATGCTACATCAACCTAAAAAAAGCCCGAATCATGAGCAGGGATGGTCTTACATCCACTTGGGCAACTTGATATTTTATAGTCCAATACTAATACTCAGCCATCAAAGCACACCTCCACACACCTCATCCCAGTGATCCCACCCACAAAAAATCTCTTCTTTTTTTTGGTTTAGTTAATTAATATTTATTACTCAACCTTTTTCAGAAATCACAAATTCCTAGAGAACATCCTTTACATTTTTGTCCTTTTTTTTTTTTTTTTTTTTTTTTTTTTTTTTTCCTTTAAACCTAAAATTTTTCTTTTTAATATGTCAATCAATCCATCCATCCATTTCCTTATAAATTTTGGCTACTTCTTCTCATTTTTATTTTCCAAGTTGGCTTGGATGGATTAAAATGGTTCAGTTCTTTTCTTCTTCTTTTGTAATGGATAATAAATGTTTTCAAGTCTTTTCCTTTCAATGGAGAAGTTTATCATGTAATTGCTAATTGACCTTAAAATTCATATTTCAATGAAATTCACTAGTTCCATCAAGTGTTTTAGGTTTGTACGTAAGATAAATTTAGCCCACTATATTTTCAAACCCTGAGTCCGTCCCTGATGATGAGATCAAAGATAGATAAACCTCAAAACTTTTAGCTTATAACGCCAAATTATTTTGATTACATTCACTTAACAAAATACAAAAATCAAAGTAGCAAGCCACTAACCCAACCCATAAAGTCCATCTATATTCAAGCGAAATACCATATTTGATGAATATTGACATTTGAATTTTGAAATGATAAAGTGGGGGTTTCTTTTTTTTTTTTTTTTTTTTTTTTTTTCTTTATTTATCTTTAGTATGAACTTTGCTACTGAAAACCATTAACCATTTTTAGTTTGGGTAGCGGTGTTGTGTTGTTGATGCCCTTTTTAGTTCCCCTCTCCTTCTTGGGAATAGAGGAGGAAAATAAAGGAGGCTGAGTTAACACCAATGCCCCAATTAGATCTTTGGCTTGTGAAAGGACTATTCAATTTTCGACAAAATTGAAAGTTGGATCAAGTTAAAAATGGCAGGAGAGCACGGGCTGAGTCATGGTAACCTGTTTCTTCTAGCCCGATTCGTAGTTTGCATAGGCGTGCCACTATTAGTGATGAGACCAGCCCAATAAACCTGGTATATGTGATGTAGAATGCTTTGTTCGATGGATTTGCACTTGTTCTGGACCTCTGATCAAGCCATTGTGCTTCAAAGGGGTATTGGCTCAGATGAGTTCTTTTCTATGCCTCAATTAAGAGGACTTCAATATTCTTTCAATTGTGTGTCTATGGCTTGGGAGGTACGAACGATACCGAGCCAAACAAAAAAACCAATGTTGTGTCAATGTTCCCTTCATTGGGTTCAAAAACCTAATTCGGGCCTAAGATAACCATAGATTAGGTTAAGACTTAGTTAATTCGGACCCAATGGTATGATTCGGGCCTAAGTCAACCCTTATTTTTGGGCTAAGAAAGCCCTATTTCGGACCTAAAAACCTTTGTTTTGGGCCTGTCCAGCAATGAACAGTTATATTACTTTGAAAAGTAAAGATTAAAAATAGAAATTGCAGGAAAGTAAGTGTTGGCTGTTGCGAATCTCACGGCTTGGTGCTCCGGGCCGAGGGGATGTGCATCAACACGTGACGTCCTTCTTTTGGATGTGGTGCAGTTGTGCGCGGGCGTGCCAGCATGGTCTACCGTGCGTCGAGATGATGATGAGGTTCGGGTAGAAGATGGTTAAATGTTGTGCCTGTTTTGCGTTCGACTCCTAATCAAACGATTGTGGCCGAGAGAGGAACTGATCTTGGCCGTCAGGTTCACGGCCTGAGCTACAAGGTCGTTTAGTGGTGGTGTTGGTGGCGGGTTTTAGGCGGTGCTCCGGCGCGTTGCTCAGAGAGCGACGGTCGTATGATATATGGGGTGAATGAGACGATAACAGGGATGGTGCTCCGGCGCCTTAAAAATCAAGGGTCGTATGATATATTGATGAATGAATTTTCCTTACAATCTACCACTACTCCTAGGAAAGCAAATAAAGGTATTGAAAGTGCATTACAGGAAAATATAATTTGCTCCGTGGGATGCTTTTGGTTTGGTGTTTGAACCCTTTGAATGTAGTCCTGAGCTTAGTATTTATAGAAGGAGTCTTGGAGGGACAATCGAGGCTGACAAGACCTGCGTGGTGGAGCCTGACCGGGGCAAGTGGGTAGTCAAATCGGCATTTGGGATCGTGAAGCATGGTGGTTTGGGGTCGTGAAGCATGGTGTTGTGACTCCCATAAATCCCGGTAAATCTCGGCCACCTCCCTGATCTTGGGTTCTGCCCCCTTAGCCGTGGGAACGCATTTAATGCCCTGGTCTGGTGGTTGGTGATCTGACCTCAAGTCGTAAGATTACTTGTGAGAATGTCTGTGCCTAACCACCCTGATTTCCATCACCAAATCCTGACCTCAGTCACTTCCCTTGTGCATTAAATGCTTCTTGCGACTAGTGGGTTTGATGCGAAGTCAGAGGCATTACTTCATTAAATGGGGCGTGGGACCCCGAGGCCACGTAGCGATTTAACCACAGTTTCTTCGACCGTGTCTTTTACGGTCTTCGGCTTCGGCTTTGAATACCGTGGTCGCAAGGCTGAGAGGATTCTGCCTTTGCAGATTTTCTTTTGTTTTCGGGAAGGCGAAATGCTTGACGAAACGGTAGGCGCCAGGGCCGAAAGGAAGTCCCTTCAATCAGTTTATGACTGTGATTTATTAGGCACAAACATTGCCCCCACATCCCTGGATTCTTCGGTCGCGACCTGGGCAGAGGCCGAAAGGATTCCAAGGGATGGACCCTTTGTATTCCCCCTGAAGTGATTGACAGTTTGCACTTTTAATGCGTAAGTCAGTCGGCGCATTAAATGCGCAAGCACATCTTGCAGGCCATCATTGCCCAGACTTGCGCGAGCCGTCGTTTCGTCTCGTTAAACGTAGCGACGGCCTCTGGCTTTCGACACGTCCTCGCGCCCCTTGAGCACGCTGTCAAGCCGTTACGTCTCTCCAGAGAGCCACACCCTTTCGTTTCGAATTCTAGCGCCAATATAAAAGCCTGTCCTTCATTCCTTCCTTACGCTTTCAGAATTCTCAGACGCCCAAACTCTGCCAAACCTTTCTCTCAATTCTTCAACCCTTTCGAACTTCACATTTCAACACTCCACCTCTGTCCGCCCAGTTATCCCCTTTGTTAGTAACTAACGACTTTAGTCGCTTCTTCTATATTTCTTCGAAAACTCTCGAACTCTTCGTACCTTTTTCTGAGTGCTTGGCTTCTTCTACAATTCCCTGGTGTTCTTCGTGTTTAGATTCAACGGGACCTTCGCTCACTCAAGACCAGTTGTCAGTTGCGGCATACTACACCAAATTGAAAGAACTATGGGACGAGTTAGCATCTTACAGCGACCTTCCATCTTGCACTTGCGGCGCCATGAAGAAACACGTCGAACGAGAGGAGCGGAATGCGCTGATGCAATTCCTTATGGGGTTGAACTAATCTTTTAGCGCCGTGCATGGTCAAATCCTGCTTATGCAGCCCCTGCCTTCCACGCGCAAAGCTTATTCCTTGATCTGTCTAGAGGAGAAACAACGAGAGTTGGGTTCTTTTTCTTTACCTATCGAGCATGCAACCATGATGGTACGCCAAGATCAGAAAATTTCTAATACAGGGAGGAAGCAGTTGCACTGTACATACTGTGACGTAGATCATCACACTAAGGAGACTTGCTAGAAGCTTAATGGATATCCTCCAGGTGACCGGCTGCACAAGCCAAAATGATCCAATGGTGGGCGAAATAAATGCAGTGATGGGTCTTCCTCTGCAAATCAAGTTAGCTCCAGCCCATCTTTTCAAGAGATTCAGACCGCCATGCCTAATCTGTCTGCAGGACAGTCCCAACAAGTTTATGCCATGCTGAACACCAATCATGCTGAGCAGCACAATCCTCAAGTCCATGCCACCAATTCCACCTCAGGTTTGTTTACACCTTCTACATCCCTAGATCGTTGGATCATTGATAGTGGGGCCACGGATCACATCACGTCATGCCCACATTCTTTGACAAGCAACACAAACAATTCCACCATGGCGCCGGTGGTTCTACCTAGTGGAGAAAAGGCTCCCATCAGTGTGACTGACACTATTTCTTTAAACTCTTATCTTTATTTGAGAGATGTTTTATGTGTACCTACTTTTCATGTCAATCTCATGTCTGTTAGCAAATTGACGAAGGGATTAAATTGTTCAGTGACCTTTTTTCCCTCTTGGTGCATTTTACAGGACCTGGTTACGAGGACGACGATTGGTCTGGGTAAGCAGCGAGGACTCTATTACCTTGCGGGCTTCCAATAAATCTCCCTCCACCACTAGATCATCCTACAACCTTGTCGCCACCTCCACCAACTTATGGCATCGCCGTTTAGGTCATCTTTCATCTTCCAGATTGCAATTTTGTCTAAGACTTCACTAGATTTTCCTTTTCAGTTAAATAATGTGTGTGATGTTTGTCCTTTAGCCAAAAAAACACGTCTGCCTTTTGGTATGAGTTCTATTTCAACTTCTAAAGCTTTTTCACTTATTCATTGTGACATTTGGGGGCCCCATAAAATTCCCTCTCTTTCTGGGGGACGTTATTTCTTAACCATTGACGATGATTACACTCGCTTTACTTGGGTTTTCTTTATGCATCATAAAAGTGAGACTCAACATATTCTGAAATTCTTTTTTTCCTATGTCCAAACACAATTTAATACAAAGATTCAACAAATTCGTGTCGACAATGGGGGAGAGTTTTTCTCCCTACGAGATTTTTTCATGACAACGGAATTGTTTATCAATGTACTTGCGTTTACACGCCCCAACAAAATGATGTGGTGGAACACAAGCACCGTCACATCCTTGAAACTGCACGAGCCGTGCATTTTTTAGCACACCTCCCTTTACACTTTTGGGGTGCATGTGTTCTCACGGCTGTTTATTTGATTAATCGATTGCCCACACAAATACTTTCCAAAAAAACCCCTTTTGAGTTGTTATACACTAAACCACCTTCTTATTCCCACCTCCGCGTTTTTGGTTGCCTTGCCTATGCTACTTCTGTCCACCCTTCACACAAATTTGATCCTAGAGCAACTAAGTGTGTGTTCATCGGTTATCCTATGGGTATAAAAGCCTACCAACTCTACGATCTCTCCACTCGTAAAGTCTTTATAAGCTGTGATGTTGTGTTTCATGAAAATATTTTCCCCTTTCAGGTTGCCCCTCCAGATGCCCATCCTCCACTGTCAAACACAACCCTTGTCCTTCATACCCCTCTCCATGATAACATCTTAGCTCCGCTCCTTGATGACCCTCATGATACTGCCACCCACTCATTCGATGATCCTAGTCCCACCTTGCCTACTCCCACTTCAACCTCTCCACTATCTTCATCGCCTAATGTCATCACTGATTCCCAACCCGACTCTTTATCTGTACAGCTGCTTCCCCACTCTCAACGCCACAAGACTCCATCTGTTTTTCTCAAAGATTTTGTATGCTCGCAAGTAACACTACCATCCCCTGACCATTTGTCGTCTCCGTCGCCATATCCCACCAAAGGTACACGTTATCCGCTGTCCAATTTTCTCTCTTATCATCGGTACTCACCATCTCATCTCTCATTTATTGCTACTATTAGTAGGAGTGTGGAACCTTTTTCTTTTGCAGAGGCATCTTCTGATCCCAACAATACATGGACCCTCACATCTTTACCTCGTGGCAAGGTCCCCATTAGCTGTCGATGGGTCTATAAAATCAAACACCGATCCGATGGTTCGATTGAGCGCTACAAAGCTCGCTTGGTTGCCAAAGGATACACACTTTTTCTCCCACGGCAAAAATGATTACTGTTCGTGTCTTCTTGCTCTTGCTGCTGCCCAAAGTTGGTCTCTTCACTAACTCGACGTGCACAATGCCTTTCTTCATGGTGACCTTCATGAAGAAATTTACATGTCTCTGTCGCCTAGTCTTCAGCGACAGGGGGAGAATTTAGTTTGTCGCCACAACAAGTCTTTGTATGGCTTAAAACAAGCTTCCCGTCAATGGTTTGCTAAGTTTTCTGAAGCTATACATGCCGCTGGCTACGTTCAATCCAAAGTGGATTATTCTCTTTTTACTTGCAAACAAGGCAAGTCATTTACTGCTCTCTTGATTTATGTTGATGATATCTTGATTACAGGGAACGATATTTCTGCTATCAATTCTCTTAAGCAGTTCCTCCATACTCGTTTTCGTATCAAGGATCTTGGAGATCTCAAGTTCTTTTTGGGGATTGAGGTGTCCCGATCAAAGAGAGGCATTAGTATTTCACAAAGAAAGTATACACTCGAGATTCTCAAGGATGGAGGTGTTCTTGGTTCTCGACCCGTGAATTTTCCCATGGAGCAAAACCTCAAACTGTCAAATACAGGAGAATTGCTTCATGATCCATCCAAGTACAAAAGGTTAGTCGGTCGTCTAATTTACCTGACCATCACGAGGCCTGACATCACATATGTCGTACACGTGCTAAGCAGGTTCATGCACGAACCTCGTAAGCCTCATATGGAGACTGCACTTCGAATCCTGAAATACCTCAAGAATACTCCCAGGCAAGGACTGTTTTTTTCAGCTCAAAGTGACTTAAAGTTGAGTGCTTATTGTGACTCAGATTGGGCAGGTTGCCCAACCACTCGTAGGTCCACAACTAGGTATTGTGTGTTTTTGGGAAGCTCATTGATTTCTTGGAGAACGAGGAGACATAAAACCGTATCTCTTTCTTCCGCAGAAGCCGAATACAGAGCCATGGCCAGAGCATGCTGCGAGCTCTCTTGGCTACGAAGTCTCTTGTGAGATTTGCAGTTATCACATCCTGAACCAGCCCTATTGCATTGCGACAATCGTGCTGCATTACATATAGCAGCCAATCCGGTCTTCCATGAGAGAACAAGACACATTGAAATGGACTGCCACTTCATTAGAGGCAAGATAAAAGACGGATTGATCATTACAAAGCATGTCACATCTCCACAACAGATTGCTAACGTGTTTACCAAACCCTTGGGTAAAGATGCATTCTCAATCATGTTGCACAAGTTGGGAGTTCTTGACATCCACTCTCCAACTTGACGGGGAGTGTTGATAATTCACTGTATCCCACACAATCTGGGATTAGTTAGGAAACTATTTTATTGTTGTAATTTGTAATTGATTCTGTATTCTTACTTACCAAAGTTGTACAACTAGATTGTAGAACTAGATTGCTTAATTGTAGGACGACCTCTGTATAAATCCAATTGCTTGGTTAATGAGAAATTCATTCTGGCAATTATATTCTTATACCAATTTTACAAAACTTGAGTGTTGTCCAATGTCAGCTGCAGACCTGCCCTTGTAAGTTGATTCACAAGTAAGAGAAAAAATATCTTAGATGAAGATACTGGCTTCAAGGGATGTTCCTTTGATTTGTTATCCTGTTGCAGCTGGAAAACAAGTCGAAAGACGACTCCTCTTGGTTTTGGCATCAGTCAGCCAGCTTGCTTCCTTGCTAAGAAAGACAACAATCAAGTCGCTCTTAATGGTGAAAACCCATTTTCAGCAGGTTACGTAGGTGAACTTGGTAAAGGTTACCCACTCACTAACTTTAGTGCGGGTCAAGGCTGAGATATTTTGAGATATGAGCCTTTGAGTGAATTTAAACCAAGTAGTGGCCCAAACACAAAAACAAAAGCCCTTTTTGTTGGTTTTGAAAGAATGAAAGTGGGCTCGGGTCCAATGCAATTTTAATATTTAAAAAATAAACAAACTTTGGTCCGTTTTTCAAATATGGTACAAACACGTGTAATTTGGTTAGAAAACTTAAATATATTCTGCAATATTCAGTTTTGGTATATCGAACGAAAGCACAAACAACAGGATTTATAAATTGTAAAAACTGCAACAAAACTGAAGAATTTTCAATTCATATACTTCATTTGGAGGCTCAAAGATAGGATTTAAAGTCCCATTCATAAAAAATAACATTTATTTTTATCAACTTGTGAGCATGTGAGAGAGCTAATGGGCGGGCTATGGCTTATTAAAAGTGGGATTTTGGGATGGATTGTCGACAAATAAGTTTGGATTTAAAAACAACTTGGTCTTCGATAGTAGTCGTTTTATGTTATATTAATATTTTAGGGGATGCTCCTTCAAGCAAAGGACCACTATTGTAGTGGTTTGGAGCAATTACTCCATCAGACAAGGTCCTATGTTTGAATCCTAACATCCATGTAGTGTGTATGAGTTCAGTATATTAATTCCTCTCTCAATAGGAAAAGTCTTTAAATATATATATATATATATGTAGGGGTGGCAATAAATTTTTTGAAATTCTTCTTCCACTTCTTGTCATTATCATTACTACTAGTCATCATATATCAATCCTTTTATCGTCAAGCCATGTAATTTCAAAGAAGACCAAGCCCATTAATTTCAACTAAGAACTAAATGCAATAGGGTACGTACTTTCCATGGTAAGCCCAATTTGACTATGATATATGTACAAAATTAAATTCAACATTGACAGGCATTACAATGAAGGTAGGAAAGGATTGGTGGCTTGTTCTGTAGCTACGTATGATGAAGCATATGAAAAAAGTACTGATTTTCTTTGGTGTTGGACCAAGCATGCCGGTTAATTATGATGAAGATATGTCCTTGCTCTCTTCAAAATTAGCCACACATCACATTAATGTAATCCCCTGGCAATTATAAAATGTACAACACAAAGATTGTGGCCTACAATCTTCTGATTAATTCATCCTAAATTCCAAGTAATTAAGTCAATATTTGGAGCTTCTGGTTGAAAAGTCTTCAAGGAAAAATTTGGCATCCATGTCAATATGGAGTCTTTGAATGCATGTTGCGTCCAAAGCAATTAAGCCAAGGACACGACTACCTGAGCGTTACACGCCGTTGCCCAAAAAAAGAAATTTAGTATATGTTTTTCCAATCTATAGTTTGGTTAAAGTATAATGTGAATACAATATTAGATCCTTATCCATATACTGGTAAGTTGGTAACCCAGAAATCAGATTTAGCTGCTTATTATCTGGAAGAGTTATGATTTGGCCAAATTCATGCCCTTACTCAACATAGTGATAAGGTAGATTTGAAAACAGCTACGAAAAAAGAAACTCCAAACAAATGAACTTGGTAAGATTCCAATGCTTCAAGATACATATAAGAAGAAGGCAGCCAAGGAGAAGGAAAAGTTCTTGCAGGTTCCCTAGTCAAGATCTTCCATCACACGCATCATTTGGTGCAATATGGTCCACAAAGAGAATGAGAGAGTCCAAGTTGTGAACCACTAGGAGTTGAAAAATGTTAAGAGCATGCTGCACTGTGGGTACCCACAACGTTCTAATATGGAATTTAGTTTGGAAGGGCGCATCAATTTGAGAATAGAATATTGAAAAAAGAATCTATTGAAAGACAAATGTGAGGTGGTGAGATTTGCAGCTATAAGTTTCAAGCAAATGAGAGTTTCCTAATGAGCCACCGAGGGTTCTGCTTCGTTGAATCAAATACTTGTTTAACATTGATTGTTTTGTAATGATTTCTGGTGGTGATCCATCTTTATCTTAGATAAACTAGTTTATTGGTTGGTTTTGTTGTAACCCATTAATTCAACAGATTCACCTGCTATGCAAATCTTGCGGGTCAATGTGGAATCTCCCATCAAGAATTAAATGGATCGTTCATATTAATAATAGGATTTTACAGATGTATGTAGAGAATCTCACCAATACCAATATTTATTAATATCATAGTGTGAAGAGAAACCCTAGCCGCTAAAAGAGAGAGAGATTTTCGGATTTTCGGATCTCTTCGGATTTTCGGTGTTCTTCGGCTCTTGTTGAACTTATGTCGATCTACTCTTTCTTTGGCAGATCTAGACTTTAGTTGTGCCTCATCTTGCGAGGCTGCTCATTAGTGTGTTGTGGCCCTGAAATAACTAGGTGGCACTGTCTATGTCAAGTCCCGAAGGAAGATTAATAGCAGTTGATTTTCCTTTTGTTGGCGTTGTTTTCGTTTTTTATTTTGATTTATTTTGTTCAATAAAGCCCATAAACTCTATGAGTTTTCTGTTTTTATTTTTTCTATTATGATTCTAGAAACTTAGTTGAGTTTACTAGGTATTCTTAGTCTCTCTAGGAGAGTCATGCCAGTTAGCAGATATTTTTTGTTCTTAATACTAGCCCCTTGGCACATGCTCACGCATGTGCCATTGGTTTTCTTTTTTCTTTTTTATTTATTTTTAGAATTAAGAAAAGATAACATGGGTAGTTATGTTCCATAAAAGTATAACCTATTATATCTGATTTTGTTTTTATTTTTATTTTGTTTTAATATGAAAAAAAATGTGAATTTACCATATTATCCTCATTTAATTAATAATTTCAATTCTTAATGTTTGAATTAACTAAGGGCATTTTCTGGTATTTTGAATGTTTCACAATTCTCTGCCTTTCGCTTTATATATATAGATTATTAGACTGGATTCGGAAAAATTATGGCAGTTGAGAGGGTTTATAGATTATTGGACCAGATCGTTTCAGCTTTATAGTTGACTCGGATAATAATCGGAAAACAAAATAATTTATTAAGAATAATGCAGATGATGAGAATCACAATAAGTTGAAAAGAATTATTAATTGGGTAATTAATTGAAAATAAAATAAGGATCATGGTGGACCAAGAAAGCATATATGTAAAACACGGGAAACTTGTATGCTATCAAGATCGGAGCCACATAAAACCCTAGTTCATGTGTGATTCACATGCAACTAGCTGTTGTCATATCCCTATCTGTACTAAGATTATTTCTAGCATGATGAATTTTTTGAAAATTGACAAGTTAGGAAGAGAGAGAGAGAGAGAGAGAGAGAGAGAATCATTAACAAATAAAATTAAATATAATTTTCTTTGTGACATTTGAAAGATTAAATAAAATTAAATAATTAATAAATAACAATTGAAATAAAGGCTAACAAAGATTAGGATAGTAACTTAAGTAGGAGAGCACAAATGCTAACATGCCCAAAAACAATTGATTAAAAAGGGATAGAGTTTGAGAGAAAGTTGAAGGGTATTTGTTCACCTGTTTTGATTTAGTTCCTGTGATGGTAGGGTCCCCTTTGGCTTGAAAACCCTTTGTGGTCAACAAGTCAACTTTTTTTGATGTGCGAGCGTGACAATGTTAGCAATTAAGACCCTAACAGACTTATGGAAAATTGATAACTTGTGCCCCAAGTTACTGACTTGAAACAAGTGATTGTGAATTTTGGTGAGGAATATCTCCCAAGTAAGTTATTTTCTTGCCTCAGGCTAGTGAGGACATCACAATTTCTTACATTAAAAACTAGTAGTTCTAGCCAAAATGAATATTGAAAATAAATCAAACTGTTTTAAAGAGAACTGCATATTACACAATTTAAAACAAAAAGGAACTGCCACGTCTGAAAGGACATCAGAACATTGGGCTTCGATTTTTGCTTGGATTGTTGCCTGTGATTATGGCTGGACTGGATATATCTGTGCTGGATTCAAATGTCAGCACCTTCAACTAATGAGGTTCAACTGGAAATCGATACCAATGTTGAGATTGGCAGAGCTTTAATCTAATTTAGCCATGGAGAGGCTTGTTGAATGGGCAGAATTAAGATTTCTTCAGTCTGAACAAGGCTGGAAGTGACTGGATTGACAATTGCTAATATGAGGCTATACTTCAGTACCTGTTCTGCTTGATTATGAATCATCTAAGAGCTATTTTGGCAATTCTGAAAGATCAAACAGCTCTATAAATTTGTTAAGATTTTTATATTATGAAAAAACTGAGTTATGCTTGATTCTATGCACTAAGATGATTTCTAGCAATGATGAATTAGGTTGAAAATTGAAGAGAGAGAGAGAGAGAGAGAGAGAGAGAGAGAGTCAAATGTTTCCCAAACGTTTGTTTTCTAAATGATTTTCTCTCCAATTTGTGAAATGGAATGTTGGATGCATGGATGGCACATAGCTGCAGATGTGTGGAGAGCAGAAAGATTGATCAGGAAGGTATATGCTTTGTTCAATTGTTCCTTTCCCTTGCCAGAAGCAACCATATATGTTTTGTCATTATGGTTTCCGTGGAATTTTACCTGTTCGGTGCTTTGTGCAAAGAAATTTAAAAAGAAGAAAGGACTGATGTTCGTTTACCTCATCTTCCACATTTTGTTTTAGAGCACTACAAGGACAACGTTTTGTTTTTCTTTTTAACCATTTGGACACCATAATTGTTCACCCAATTATTTACGTTGCTCACTTTTTGACTCACAGAGCATCAACAATGGGCTCCCTAAACTACCTCCTTAAACAAATTTTAGGGAGGAATGGTAAAAATGCAACTCCAACCACGCTCCCTATCCACCTCATAAAATAGGGAGTCCTCTAGGAGCTCCTAAATATGAGGAGAGAGAAAGGACTCCTAGTGGCTCCCTATAATTTAATGCTGCTTTATTTAATGAGTATTTCAAACCTTTATTTAATGCTAACCTTTTTTTATTTTATTTTTTAATAAAGATGGACCAATCAAAAAAGAGTTATAGCTTTTATAACTCTCCAAATTAGGGAGTATGGTT